GGGATGAAAAGATGAAAAATAATGCAGTATCAAATTAACAGAATAAAATAGACAATGCATACATAGGTGTTCACTGTAAATTCATACAACTTGTATGTGCAATGTGACATTCTATACTTTTTAAACCTTGCATAATGAACTGTGAATGTTATAGCTCTGCACACAAGGCTGAACCAATCCTGGTGGTCAAGATTAGCAGTAGATGTAGGTAGACCAGTTACAAGGCATCATGTTAGCCAGTAGGAGCCTTATGGTACCATGTGTAAGTGTTAAAAGTGAAAGAAGAAACAGATATGATGATATCGAGTTAAATAATTGGATTTAGAGATTGTCTAGATACAGAAACTAAGAAAGAATATTGAGAATTTTTCAATAACTGACTCTTGCAACCAGGTGGTATTGAGGAAACTGAAGGTCTACATGACCTCCCTGAAAGATTTCCAAAAATCTACAACAGTTTCTTGAACAGTGTAATCAGTTTTAGAGGGTAAAATCTGGGATCTGAGTGTGGTGCTGTAGAAAAAATACTAAACTGTTAACATCAATATTAGCACATCAAGCCCACCTTTGCATGATCCTCAGAAAACCTATACCAGGTCTCTATGAGTTGGAACCAACTTAAAGACACTCAACAAAAACAGTGCTAGCTGGGCAGTTTTATAAATGGGTCCAGGTTTGGTCTATAGCTATAAATTTGCACATCACTGTCAAAGATTGATAATAAATGCAGCCAGGGAACAGATAAAATTACTAAGAGAAAGGAAGAGAGATAGGCTGAGGCAATGAAAACTATCAACATTCAGAAGCTGGAAACAATATGATCCATGATCATAGTGGAAAGGAAACTGAGGAAGAACTGAACCCATACAAACAATGTTTAATAAAATTTGCAAAACTAAAGACAAAAGACAACTCTTACTCTAGATTCATTGAGGGAGAGGGGCTGTGTGCTGGCAGCCGGGAGCAGGCTTGCAGCGTATACCCTATGAATGTTTGAATGGTTATATATTCCTGAGTGTTTCTGTGTACATCCAAAAATAAAAAATTAAACACCACAGGGAATGGAAGCAAATGCTGTTGATTGATGTGCATGGAGGGGGGTTGTAATCATTGCAATGAAATAAAATAAAATAGGATGAAGGTAAACCTTACATTCTCCCACGTAAACTATCTCTCAATCACAATGAAAACTTAAAGAAAAATAATAAATAAAGCTTTTTTAAAAAGACAACCGTTTCCTGCTATGGTACAGATTCCAGGTAAAGAATGAGAATACCTTTTGTGGAAGGGAAAAAAATAGAACTATGCCTCTATTCTGCAGGTCTTGCGAGTGAAGACTGGGTGTCATATGTCTTTACCTTTCAGACATGCCAGGGCCAATAACTCTCTCTTATGGTGAGGGGCAAACACTCCTGGGTTTCCAAGAGCAACACCAAAAAAACTAGGTCTAGGTGAGGTCTTTGCAAAAGCATTTGAAGAATTCCTCACATTGGAGTTCACAAAGTAATGTGTTCAGGGGGCCTCATGGCAAAACCCTAACTCCACACTAAAGGGGGGTGAAAGTGACACCCTCTACATAAAGACTTGCTGTTGGGTGCTAAACTCACTCACTCACAGTAGCCGGGTCAGGACAACAGAATCAGGAGTGATTGAAGTCCAGGTAAGTTACTGGGCAGCTGACAGAGGGGAAGCTAATTTTTTCAAATCCATCCCATTAGCCATTAGTTACTTTCTTGTCCATTGCCTCTTGCTTCTCATTATCAAAGTCATATTTGCAAATTAACTAAATTGACACTAGCAAAATTCATGTGTTCACACTCTTTCCTCACGAGGAGGCAGGGGCCAGTTTCTGGAGGGCAGCTTTCACATCCTTATTCCTCAACGTGTAGATGAGCGGGTTCAGAGCAGGGCTGACCGCTGTGTACAACAAAGTCACCACCTTGCCATTCTCCATGGAGGCACCAGAGCCAGGAAGGAAGTATGTGTAGATGACAGTGGAGTAGTACAAGGTGACCACCAGGAGGTGGGATGAGCAGGTAGAGAAGGCTCGGCCCTTGCCGGAAGCTGAGCGGATGCGGAAGATGCTGGCCACGATGTAACCGTAGGAGCCCAGTGTGAGAAAGAAGTTGACCACACCGAAGCAGACATCAGCAATGATAATCATGACATTGTTTAGTTTTGTGGAGCTACAAGACAGCAGCAGCAGTGAGGGGGCTTCACACATGAAGTGGGGAATGTGGTTGGGGCCACAGAAGGTCAGCTTTGTAATGAGGCCTGTGTGCACTGATGAGTTGATGGCACTGAATGTCCACACAGCTACATCTAACAGTGCACACAGTGGCCAACTCATGATGGTGCTATACCGCAGTGGCTGGCAGATGGCCACATAGCGGTCAAATGCCATGGCTGTGAGCAACAACAGCTCCGCACCAAGAGACCAGATCAGTAAGAAAACTTGGGTCAGGCAGCCCTGATAGGAGATTGTGTCTACCCGGGATACCAATCTCTCCAAAAGCTTGGGGAGAGCAGTGGTTGTGCAGACGATGTCCAAAATGGCCAGGTTGACAAGGAAGAAGTACATTGGGGTGTGCAGACCTGGGCTCAGAGTGATGAGTGTGACGATGAGGCTGTTTCCTACAAGAGCTGTCAGGTAGAGGAAGAAGAAAAGGACCGAGAGCAAGAGTCGGAGATGTGGGTCTTCTGAGAAGTCCTCTAGAATGAACTCCACTACCGCTGTTTGGTTGCCTGCTGACATCTGGATGAACCTTTTGGGTCCCTATTCAGAAAGGCACACAAAACAATGAGTATTGTGGTCTTCAGAAAACACCCAAATTATAACCCACCAGGACTTGTTGACATCTTCACCAAGAAAGCACTCAACTAAGGCATCAATGTGTCACTTGGTCCTGGAAGCAGTCAGGGAATTGCCATTCTCCCTGGACTCTCCTGGACAGCCCCACCTTGCCCTGATGATATGCCTTCCTCACAGCTTTCCCCATTTGTAACCAGGAGGATTGTCCCCAGCATCACACAGTCAATTACACAGTAAGCACAGAAAGAGCCTGCATTCACTTTAACTTATAACATATCCTTCCTGATCCAGGGACCCACCAGTCTCATCTGCCTCTTAATGTCCATGATGAGTGTGATGATAAGGCCGTTTTCTGCGAGACCTGTCATTTAGAGGAGGATAAAAAGGACCAAAAGCAGGCCCCGGACCTATGGGTCTTCTGAGAATCCCTAAAGAATGAACTCAAAAACAGCTGTGTGGTTTTCTGTGAACATCTGGATGGATCTTTTGCGTCACTAGTCAGCAGGGAGCAAAAATTGATGGGTGGTGTGGTCTTCAACCATGACCCTGATCACAACCCTGATCACAAACCGGAACGTGTTTGCATCTTCACCAAGAAGGCACACAACTAAGGCTTAAATGTGTTTCTTCATCCTAGGGTAGTCAGGGAATTACCTCTCATCCTAAACTCTTCTAGGCAGGTCCACAAGGTCCTGATGATAAACCTTCCTAATAGCTTTCCCCATTTGTAACCAGCAGGCCTGTCCCCATCAATCCAGAGTTAGGTGTACAGGGGGCACAGAATGTGCCTGTATTTACTTTAATTTAGTACATATCCTTCCTGATCCAGGGACTCACCACTGTAGTCTGCCTTTTAATGTCCAGGACTCAACCCGGAACAACCTAGGCACCAAGCTAGGTGCCTGGTCTTTGAAAGTCAGGAAGAAAAGCCTTTGTTGCAGCTGGGACACCTAGGACTTTATGCTCCTAGACCAACACAATAGCTGCAGTGCAAGGAGGGACTGTCAGGGGCAGCGGCAGACTCACCTGCGCAGGTGTTTCAGGCAGAGGCATTACTGTCCAGCCAGTCTCACACACTTTCTCTCCAAGAATTCCCAAGTCCTTGTAATGGAATGCCCATAGCAACTAATCCACAGGCAAGAACCCCAACCATGATTCAAAATCTATCTTTTATCCTGGGCTAGTAGGAAGCCCATTCTTTCAGGGAGCACAAGGCTATGTAGGGCTGGAGGTAGCAGGAATGGACACATGCTGAGTCTTAGCACAGTTCCATGACTTCCCCACCAATGCAGAGCCCCAGGTCTTTGGTCAGGGACACAGTCAGAGAGCAGTCAAATTCACCAATATCAAGTGTCCCTCCACTGGTGTCATTACAAACCCCAGTGGGTTTGGGAGAGTCCAAGGTCTAGATGCATTTGGCCTGGACTGAGGGCAACTCAGAGGCATAGTCCTCACTATTTTGCACCTTTGGAACACTTACCTCCTTCGCATGTAATGCCAACAGAAAACTACACACACAATGGAATATGTGCTCACTAAGGAGCTCTCGTAGCGGAGTGGTTACGAATCGGCTGCAAACCACAAGGTCAGCAGTTTGAAACTAACAGCTGTTCCACCAGAGAAAGATGAGGCTTTCTGCTCCCGTAAAGATTTACAGCCTTGGAAACCCGGTAAAGGTTCGCTATGAGTCAGAACCAACTCCACGGAACACAGCCACCACCACTCTGTTCACAGAGCTCAAGGGTGGGAAAGTTCTGGTGTTTCTGACAGTTTGGACCACAGGTTGGTGATCCCTGAGGACCTGCTGTGTGCCTTCAGAAGACCAGGGGCAGCACACCCCTCTCTGGTCAGCAGAACTAGAGAAGCTTAAAGAGCAAGGTGGGGTTCACCTAAGGGCTCTGCCTCTGAGGGTCCCGGTCATGTCCAATACAGCAGCCACATGGCATGTGAACCCTCAGGCATCCAGCAACTTCCTATACATGTAGCAGCGATGCCTACTCACTCCCCTCTGGTCTTCACCCCTGAAAACTGAGATTCTCTTAGCTGCAGATCCACCTGCAGGTCCAACAGAGGCTCAGCCACTACAACCCTCTTGTCTCCTGCACCAGATTCATAGAAGACTTGGTGGCAGGTCACTGCTGAGTCAGTGACTTCTATCCCACATTAGACACTGCAACCTACTTTGGAGATTAGGCACTCTGCTTGGTTCCCTTCTTACCAGGAGATGAACTGCACAGATTGGTCAGCACAACCAGCAGATATGTGGCAGATCCCGGCACTTTAGTTTCAAACTGAAATAACAAAAGACTGAAAATGAACCAGGCACTTTTAGGGGGGGGTTTTCTACAATAAAATAGGTCAGAGTAAAAACAAAGGTGTCTTCAAACACATCAAGAGCAAAATTAGGATAAATAATCCAAAAGACCAGGGATAGACAGATACTACCACTGTTTATTACTATTGACTACTAATACAAGGGATGCATCTCAATCATTTTTGTCTGAACATGATGCCACATTTACATGGTAGATATATAACATCTTACTCAGGTGGGAAGGGAGAAGTGACTTGTGTCTAAAGGCCCACACTTGCTGCTCAGTGACTTCTGTGTTATGGGCTTTTAACTGGTGGCCATCCCCTGCAGCAGACACCTCATCTGGAGAGCTGCCCGGGAGAGTAATTATCCCATCTAGAGGTAGTAGGCCCCACAGGGCACAGTCCGAGGCTGACTCAGTTCAATGGTCAGAGTTCTGAATGTTTCTGGGGACTGTGTCCCCAGGCCTGATGCTGACCCCAAGAATGAGGGTTGGGAAACCTGCATGCCCCATAGGCTGGGCCTGGCAACCATGCTGACAGGTCTTTAGGGGAAATCCTTGTTTGCCACAACAATTCAGATAAGGGCCTGTATAAAACCAACCCCTGTGGAAACATGGATTTCTGTTTAAACACTTTTTAGAGCTGCTTTAGTTTTTAGAGCCCTGGTGGAACAGTGGATTAAGCACTGGCCACTAACTATAAAGGTCAGAGGTTCAAATACAGAAGCTGCTTACAGGGAGAACGATGAGACATTCGGATTCTGTAAAGACTTAGAGCCTCAGAAATCCTATAGAGCGTTTTAAGTCTTTCCTTTAAAGTCGTTATGAATTGGAATCTATTCAACAGCAATGGGTTTACCAGGCTTTTAGATTTCCACATCAGGACTCTTAGATTGGTAGAAAAGTTGAGAGAATCGTACATACACCCCCTCAACCCAATTCCTCTGCTTTAAAGATCTTACAGTAAGATAGCACACTTGTCACAATAAATGGATCAATATTGATACATGATTACTAACTGAAGTCCACTCTTCATCCACTTTCCCCTAATGTCCTTTTCCTATGTGCACAGAATCCCACAACTGGTCCAGTTTCATGTCTCCTGACGCTCTTCTTGACTCTAATCCTGACAAGATTAAGGCCTCTCTGTGCCATGTCCTCTGTCAAAAAATGAGCAAAACAGACTTAACTCCAGAGGAAACATACCTCACAACTATAGTAAAAGGACAGGAAGCAGCCTTGGGAAGGATTGTTGTCAAGAAGTTGCAGAAGATGTCCCCTCTCTCCACTGCAGGAAGCATCAAGTTTGGGGCAGGCTCTGGTAACAGTCCTTGGTACTTCAGAACAGGAGCCTCGGAAGGCATCTGCAGCTGTGTTTGGGAGCACACAGAAAAGGCCCTGAATGAGTCACAAGGTCACAGAAGGGAAGAGCCAAGGCAGGTGCTGGTGGAAAGTAACATGGAAGACAGAGCCAGAGGAATTGGGGATTCTACCAGATGCATTACCATGCTAGGATTACTACTGGCAAACAAGGTTGTATAATCTGCATATCTCAGGTTGTTAATGAGTGTTCAGCCAGTCATTTGACAAGACAAGATGGTACCCCACAAAGCCATGTATTTGCTGAATTATAGAAAAATAAAGGCAATCCTGTCCTCATGTCCCTTCCCAGTCTGTCTCCCAGGCTCAGGTACAGCTAAATTCACAAAGCAGCAGGGATTCTCTGAGAACACATCCCCCTGCATATCCCAGTGTCTTTATTCATCAACTGCATCTGGTCCAGCTCCATCCACTAAAGAAGTTCTCTCCTGGACTTGATGGAACCTTCTCTTCTTCTGTCCAAAGGCCCTGGATCCTTTTAAGCCCTCCCCAGATTCTGCTCCTACCTATAAATATTATTCAGAGTCAACAAAAATGTTGAACTAATTTTTTTGAGGCTTTTGTTTCACCTCATTTGAAGTTGACAAGAATTTCATTTTCCTTGGGTCCTCAATCAGCACCCATGGAAACAGAAGTCAAGAAAT